CCCAACAGTTAATATCCTTCTTTGTCTCTTGTAACCTTTTTGATTTTAAAGTCTATTTTGTCAGAGTAGTATAGCTGTATCTTTACTTTTTTGGTTGCTATTAGCAAGGGATAACTTTTCCATCCTTTTTTTTTAAGATTTTATTTACTTGAGAGAGACAGAAAGAGCAAGCAAGAGCATGAGCAGGGAGAAGGGTGAAGGGAGAGGGGGAGGGAGAAGCAGACTCCTTGCTGAGCAGCTCCATCCCAGGATCCTGCGATCATGACCTGAGCTGAAGGCAGACACTTACCTGACTGAGCCACCCAGGTGCCCCTCTTTTTTAAGATTTTATTTTTAAGTAATCTCTATACCCAGTGTGGGGCTTGAACCCACAACCCTGAGATCAAGAGTCACACGCTCTAATGACTGAGCCAGCCAGGAGCCCCTCCATCCTTTTACTTTCAACATGTTTGTGTCTGGTTCTCAAGTGAGTCTCTTGTAGATGGCATCGAGTTGAATCATGTATTTTTATCCATTTTGCTAATCTGTCTTGCTGATGGGAGAGTTTAATTCATTTACATTTAAAATAATTACTAATAAGGAGGGACTTCTATAATTATGCTATTTGTTTGCTGTATGCCTTAGGGCTTTTTGTCCCTTATTTCTTGCATTACTGTCTTCTGTGTTTATTTTGTGTGCGTGGGTGTGTGTACACGCACGCACCCACACATAAATAATTTTATGTCCTTTCCTTTGTATATTTAATAGCTATTTTTGTAGATATCAGGGAAATTACATGTATTATCCAAGATTTGGAGTTCTAAACCAAAGTTCAGCAATACACTAAAAATTGTTGTCTATTTAAATGTATTAGTCTCAACTCAGGTAGCAAACAAAGTGCAGTTACAAACCATTGTTACACTAATACTAGCTGTTATAATTGCTCATGTCTTTGCCATTACTGAGCGAGTCTCCACATGGCTTTGAGTTACTGTCTAGTGTCCTCATTTCATCTTCTAGGACTCTTACAGGGCAGTTCTAGTGGTCCTGAGTCCTCTGAGCTTTTGTTAATCTGGGAATGTCTTAATATCTCTTTTGAAGGACAGTTTTGCTGGTTATAGATTTCTTGATTGATAGGGTTTTTGTTTTGTTTCATATTAATACTTTGACTCTATCAGCCCACTGTTTGCTAACCACCAAAGTTTGGTGATGAATCTGCTAATAGTCTTACTGAGGATCCTTTGTAAGTGATGATTTGCTTCTCCCTTGCTACTTTCAGGAGTCTGTCATTGTCTTTTTTGGAAGTCTGATTATCCTGTGTGTTGGTGCATGTCTCTTTGAGTTCATCTTATGTGGAATTTGTTGAGTTTCTTGGATGTTCATATTCATGTCACTCCAATTGGGGAAGTTTTCAGCCATTATTTTTTCAAATATTCTATTTCTCTCTTTACCTGGGGACTCCCATGCTACACGTGTTGGTCGGCTTGGTGGTGTCCCACAGTTCCCTTGGGTTCTCTTGGCTTTTCTTCCATCTTTTTTCTGTTCTTCAGACTTGATAATTTCCATTGTCCTGTCTTCAAGTTCACTGCTTTTTTTTTTTTTTTGGTCTGTTCAGATCTACCTTTGAATCCCTCTAGTGAATTTTTCATTTCTGCTACTGTATTTTTCTGCTGTAGAATTTTTTTTGGGGGGGTGGGGTCTTAGGTTTTCTGTCTCCTTATTTCCATTTTGCTCACATAATTTCCTAGACTTTCTCCACATCTTCTTTTAGTTATTTAAGCATCTTTAAGACTGTTGTTTTAAAGTCTTTCTCTAGTATATCTGCCAATAGGTCTTTTTCAGGGACAGTTACTGTTGATATCTTCTCCCCCACCCCTTTTGGGCCATGCTTTCCTGTTTTAGTATGCCTTGTGATTTTTGTTGTTGAACACTGGACATTTGAATCCTCTCATGTGGTAACTCTGGAAAGCGGATTTTCCTCCTTTCCCAGCATTTTCTTTTCTGGGTTATTTTGTTGTATTTGTCAAAATTGTAGGCTGTTGCTGTGTTGAGGTATACACTTGAGGTCTGCTCAGGTTTTTTCGGAGTCTTTGCCTACACATGTACACTTTCTAATTTTTTTTCATATATGCAGTTGTTGTTAAATGTCTGGTCTTTAATTTCTGGCTCCCAAAAGGGGAGAAGAAGCAAAAAACGAAGGTAGGGAGAAAAGGGTTTGGGCCCTTTAAATTCCCTGGCAATCCCTTAACCCGGAAGGGGAGGGGCTTGTAACAGTGAGGGGAGGTGCAACTACAACGGCTGCTCACCTCCTTGTCTTCGCTCTGTGATCTGAGGCAGCGTTCCTCAGTCAGAGCAGAGATTCCTGATACTTGGAACAACCTGCATGCAGCTTATGGGAACTAGGGTGGGCAAGAAGGACGCTGTCTTCCAAGAACCCTCAAAGTTGCCTGCCAAGGGTCTAGGTGTGGAAGATTGAGTCAGTTTAGCTCTAAGAGTAAAACTGACTGAAACTAACGGCTGTTTACCATCTGAGTCTTTGTCTAGAAGTTGTAAACTTTCAACAGACTTAGTGTTCCAAAATAGAAACATCAGACAGATTCCATTCTGTGGGTGCAATTGTTATCCAGGTAGGGAAATAGATTTTTTTTTAAAGATTTTATTTATTTATCAGAGAAGAATGAGAGACTGCGCTCGGGTGAGTGAGGTGGGGTGGCAGAGGGGGAGGGAGAGGAAGCGGGAAAGAATCTCATGCCTATTCTGTGCTGAGCTCGGAGCCCCTTAGGCTCCATCTCAGGACCCCAAGACCATGACCTGAGCTGAAATTAAGAGTTGGGTGGTTCACTGAGCCACCTCAATCTTTTTTTTTTTTTTAATGTTAAAAGTGACTTAGTTTTTCTGAGTCTAGTTGACACGGTGTTAAATTTCAGGTATACAAGATAGTGGTTCAGTGGGTCTATATGTTGTATACCAAAAGTGTTATCATGGAGATAGATTCTTGTTGCTACCTACTCTTCCATCTTCCTAGAATCTTCTCTATGCAGTTTTACAAAATTCATCAAATACTTGCTTGATGTTTACTTTTTGCCTAACCATAATAGACCTAATGAAGGGTCATAACAATGTAGAAGCTAGCATTTTTGACTGGTTAAGAGCATAGTCTTATTAAGGCAGTTTCTCCATTATTGCTACCTAACAAGCCACATCAAAATTTAGAAGCTTAAAACAACAACTGTTATTGGTTATGTTATGGCAGTTAAGGAGTTTATTGGGCATGACTTGTCTCTGTGCCGCATGGCTTTAATTGGGCTCACTCATGTGGCTGTGTTCACCTGGTGGCTGGACAGGACTGAGAGCTTGGTGCTAGCTGGCAGCTGGAGTGCCATGGTTCTCCAGGTGCCCTCTCTTGCCATGTGGTCACTCATCCTCAGGCCATTTCTCTCCAGCTGTATAGCCTGGACTTCTTTACATGGGGTCTGGTTTCCAAGGGTGTAAAAGCTGTCAGACCTCTGAGGGCCCAGGCCCAGAACTGGTACAGCAGTCACTTCTGTCTATTCTCTGGATCCAAACAAGTCAGCTCAGGTTCAGGTAGAAAGGAAATAAACTCTACCTTTTGATAGAAGGAGCAGCCCCATGCCTACAGGGATAAGAGGAATTATTGGTGGCTATTTTGCTGATGATTTACCACCGGATTCTGGATAGTCACTTGAATCAATATAGAATCAAAAGAATGAATTATAATAAATTTCAAATTGAATGAGATATCCGAGTGCGCCCCACTTTTCCCCAATTAGAAAGTGTGTCCCACAAGGGCAGGGATTTTTCTTTCACTTAGTGCTTTATTCCCAGGCCCACGGGCAGTGCCTGGTTTGTGTTGGAAGCTCCAAGAGTATCTGTTGAGGGAAGGAAAGACTGCTGAGCTGGTAAGAGTAGTGGCAGAGAGATTGTATAGAAGAGGTACATCAGAGAAGGCTTCAGAGAAAACCCGAATCTGGAGCAAAGTCTTGAAAAAGAGTGATAAGTATGAATCAGTGTCTCAGAGGTGGGTGGACAACATTTTTTCACTACTGAACAGAGTGCCTGCCTATGCCAGATGCCGGAGATTCAAAGATAAGAGACTTTCCCTTGAGGAAGGAGATACAAACATTTCCATGCAAAAAAGTGCTAGAGAACAGAAAAGAACGGATTTTTCTTGGAATGATGGGGGACGGGTTGGGCTTCAGCATGAGTGTACACAGATGGGGCTGAGTAACACAAGTGTGCACTGAGGGGGAAAAGGCTGAGCTGAAGGAACCGCTAGAAAAAGTGTGTGTGTGTGTCAGAGAGTTGGGAGAGTCTTGAAAAGAAGCTGCAGGATTTATTTACCAGATAAATGATAAGCAGTGCCTCCTCTAACTCCTTAAACGTGAGTAATGTGATGACTGGATTGGAGATTCTTTGGTTACTTGGTGCAAAAGTTTTGTCTCGGTGATAAGGAGAGTCTCAATGGAAGGCCATTCATTATTAGGATTCGTGAATTAACTCGTGATTGTTTACCTTACTATAATTCTATAGTGCTTTAGGAGTTTACAAAGACCACTGCCATATACAGGTGACAGGTGAAAAGCAAAAGTATAAATTTATTAGTATATAGTAGTCTTCCTTTTTCTCTCCTTCTACCTAGAGAAGTGATCTCAGTCTAGCTTGTGGTGAATGAATCAGAAAAGGAGGGTGGATAAAGCAGGGAGATGAGTGTTTTACTCTACGTGGGCGGGGTGGGGGGAGCTGAGAGGGAGGAAGAGATAGATTAGTTGGGGTGGAATTGTGGAAAGAGATCTGTGGCTATATCTTTGAGAGATGAGATGGTTCTCTATAAGGAGCATTTCTAGGTACGGGTGTCCTGAGTTGTATTAGATTTCCATAAGAAGCCTCCTGTAGGAGGTCCTGGTTTTTTTTAACTTTATTATTTTGTGGGGACAAGGTGTTGACAATGTTACTACATCACTGCCGAAACTGGAATCAAAATGGCCCCAGTATAGTGCGAACATTGGCTTCTTTGGTTCAACATTGTCACTCCCAACAGCTGTATAAATAGTGTGTTACAGGTATTATCATTTTTTTCTCTTAAATTATGGATGACATTGGAGCTCTAGTAGATTCCCCTGGCTTCTCTGTGAGGCACTGGTGTGAAGATCTGAACTTGGCAGTAGAGAAATCTGGAGACCTATTGGTCTGAACCCACTGTGTGCACCAGATTACTTAATTGACTTAGAAAATTGAAAAGGTGTTGGACAGAGGGCTCCCAAACCCTCACTGTTGTCCGTGGCAATAACAACTTTTAGAGTAAAGCGTGTGAATGCTTACTGACCCAAATGACAATAATCAAACACATACAATGAAAGCAAAAAAAGTATGGACCTTCTCCCCAAGAGAATGCTCATATGATACTATTTGGCACACAATTTTAGGGAATATCTAGGTTCTGCAACCCACCTAGAGCATCCAGTGGCTTCAGCTCATTATTTGCTAATTTCACCAAAGTAGCTTGAGTGCGTTGAGATTCTCTTCCTTCCAATGTAAAAGTTGCCCTTTTTGTTTCCAGCAGTTGTTAACTATACTTAAAAATAGCATTAAGGAAAGCAATTGTTCCATCCGTAATTAGAGACAAGACTCTTGAATCCAGCATAAAAGCCATCATGGAGTTTTGATCAATGAGACTGCACTCCAGGTAGCAAGGGTTTATGATTTTTATGACTAAACTTGCTCATTCTCTTCAACTGCTCCAGGAGTCCCTTGTGAGGGAGTCCTTTCAAACAGGATGATTTTGACTACTAAAAATTTAAACAGATAAGGGCTCTGGGTATAGGAGTTAGAATGAGAAATACCGTATAGTAACCCTGCCTGATTGCCAAATTACGTTGGTTTTTATAAAAAGGTAATGTTCATTTTGTACAGTGCAACTCTTCTCTTGTTCTCTTGGCTTTTTTTATACACTAGACTGGTCCAATTTCAATTCTGAATATTGACTTTCATTAGGTAAACAGGAGTAAGTTTAACAGTCCCCCTTCACTTGTATCTGTATAGGTAAGAGAACTCCCTTGGCTAAAGCCCTGGCAAACTGTCAGGGTGAGCAGGGGAACCTTCCAGTATCTTCAGCCATTCTGAACAGTTCCTGAAGAAAAGTACTCAGTCAGTGAGTGACTTTTGTGTCTTCTAAAAACTTAGCTGTGATCTTCCTTCTTTTCATCCCCCCCCTTTCCCTTTTTTGTGGGGTACTTCAAGTAAAACCTTTTTTAGGCTTACCTGGGATGTTAGGGAAGAAAAAAATTTGCTTTATGTGGGTTCTTAAAATGGAAGTGAGTCATGACTACACTAAGGAAATGAAAAACTTGAAGATACTTTGGGGGTTTTTCATGTCCCCTTCAACTCCTTTGTTAAGCTCTGGGGCTCCTGGTTCATAAAAGGTAATCTGTGATTATATGAACAGTATTCCTGAATAATCACAGTTGTAACAGCCCCTATACCTCCTGCCCATTAAGCTTTCAAGTAGACCGGGCACAAGGCCACTGAAAGAGATGAGGAAAGAACGAGCCCACTTTCTCATCTAGAACATTCCTCACTGATCTTTTATACAGATTTCTGTGATGGAGTAGGGTGATCTTTAGTGTAATTTTGATATTCTTCCTATTCTTTCCCCTTTTTGATTTGTGAGGTGTGAAGGGAGCTTTTTTGTCTTAATGTGCAAGTGCCTTGAATATTACTTGAGGGTGTGGAACCCTTAAAGATCTTTTGTGTAAATCCACCTTCTCATTTCTTTTCCGTGTCCCCCAGTCTACATGCAGAACTGGAGAACCTTCATTATAGTTGAGTAAAAGGAGATCTCTCCAGGATTAAGACCCAGTTTTTGTTTTACATTGTGGTTCTAGGAAATTTTTTTTTTAATTTTTTTATTCTTATGTTAATCCCCATACATTACATCATTAGTTTTAGATGTAGTGTTCCATGATTCATTGTTTGTGCATAACACCCAGTGCTCCATGCAGACTGTGCCCTTCTCTACCCATCACCAGGCTAACCCATCCTCCCACCCTCCTCCCCTGTAGAACCCTCAGTTTGTTTTTCAGAGTCCATCGTCTCTCATGGTTCGTCTACCCCTCCGATTTCCCCCGCTTCATTCTTCCCCTCCTGCTACCTTCTTCTTTTTTTTTTTTTTCTTAACATATATTGCATTATTTGTTTCAGAGGTACAGATCTGAGATTCAACAGTCTTGCACAATTCACAGCGCTTACCAGAGCACATACCCTCCCCAGTGTCTATCACCCAGTCACCCCACCCCACCCCCCACTCCAGCAACCCTCAGTTTGTTTCCTGCGATTAAGAATTCTTCCTATCAGTGAGGTCATATGATACATGTCTTTGGTTCTAGGAAATTTTAATTATAAAAAAAGTGTGTTCCTTTTCCTTCCCTTGTACCCCTCATGAAATCCTTCCTAACTAAAACAGGATGGAAAGAACGGAAGAAAATAAGACCTTGATTAAAATGGATATTTATTATTTTTTGGATTACTTCCTCACTTTTTACATGGTGCTATGTGATGTCAAGATTTGAGCTGTGCCATCAAATTTTCTCCATTCCATTGATCTCCCACT